CCCTCTGCCCTCCAGGAGAGCCAGAGCAATGTAATGAAGAGATGTGGGAAGATGGCAGAGCTGTTATTCTCTGGCCCAAGGATGAGCATTTACAACAAGAGTGTTTCCTCTTCTTAAAAGTCTGGCGTTTAGAGGAAACTGGTTCACTTTTATGTGTAGTAGCCAACTCACAAATGCTGCAGTAGTTTTTACTATCATTCATTTTTCACAATAACAGTGGAATCTGTTGTTTACTGTTCACCTGCTATGTGCAAGGCACAGATATTTCATAAGCTATCTGACATAGATACAGCCACCTGTAATCCATAGAGCCATCCTGTAGGTAAGCGTGAGTGTTCCCATAGTCCAGGCAAGAAAGTTGAGGCTGAGGAGAGGTAAAGAAATGTGGTCCCAGGCACATGCTAGGAAGCAGGAGGTGCAAACTCAGGTCTGTGGGGCTCCATAACTTGTGTTCCTACCATGTGGCTGGTGTGAGCCTGGGGCAAGGCGGGTAGCACAGCTAAGGCTGCATGGAAACTGGAGGCAGATGGAGGGCCTGCCAGAATTCCTGGGCATCCAGCTGGCTGGCTTCTCCTCCCCAGCTGACCTTCTAGCACCAGGTGTGTTTCCACACGCCCAGATGCCATCCCCGGAGGCTCTGAATCAGACAGTTGGGGTGGAACTTATAACTCTTCCGTTAAAAGCCCTCAGGTGACAGGAAAGGACGCCCCTTGGTTAAGAATCACTGCTTTCAAATCTCAGGAGGCCATTTTCTCACATCTACACCCTCTTCTAGAAGGTTCCAAAATGTTTCTTAAGAAATTCATTCATTGGTTTGTAAAGAATACCATGCATCAGAACCCAAGACCTTATAATTCTGGGATTCCCAACAAAACAACAATAACTCTGTTCATCTACAAATGAGGTCTGAAGCTCTGTCTTTATTAACCATGACAATTATTCCCAAATAGTACGCTGTTTATGAAAAAGACTTGGGAGCACAATGTCTTGGGTTTGAGTCTTAGATCTGCCCTTTACTAACTGCAACCTTAAGGCAAGTCAATTCAACAAAATAGTTATTCAAGGCCTACTATGTACCCACAAGCCCAGGGCTGGGAACACTGAAGATTCAAAAGTGGACCAAAACAAAAAAAGGAAAAGGAAAGGAAAGGAGAGGAGAGGAGAAGAGAGGAGAGGAAAGAAGAGAGAAAAGAAAAGAAAAGAAAAGAAAAGAAAAGAAAAGAAAAGAAAAGAAAAGAAAAGAAAAGAAAAGAAAAGAAAAGAAGAGAAGAGAAGAGGAAAGGAAAGGAAAGGAAAGGAAAGGAAAGGAAAGGAAAGGAAAGGAAAGGAAAGGAAAGGAAAGGAAAGAAAAGAAAAGAAAAGAAAAGAAAAGAAAAGAAAGAAAAGAAAAGAGAAAAGTAAAAGCCATGTTCTTCCTAGCTCTGAGTTTCTCACCTGTCAAATGTGAACCAATAGCCACTAAGTGCCTGGACATGCCAGGCCCCTGATGTGCAGGTCTTCACCTCACAGCCCCAGGGGACAGGGTCTCTGGAACCCTGCTTTGCGGCAGAGGAAGTAGGAATTCGGGAGAGGCAGCCCGGGTGAGCCTGCAGCCACGTGTGGCAGTGTCTGAGCTCTCTCCACCTCCACCATCCCCCTCTTCCCTCCCCCTCCCCCACTTGGCAGATGAGTCCACAGAGTGAACTGGATAATAGGAGAAAGTGCTCTGCAGCCGACCAGGAACTGCACAGATGCATGACATCATGGTTATTAATAATGGAAGCAGCACAACTAATTCACGACCCCTCCAGATGGACCACCTGAATTGTCGCAAACGCCTGCAATCAGAGCATCCAATTCTGGGTGGTGGAACCGGGAGGGGCCTGAGGAGTCCAACCCTTTCCTTGTTTAGAGGGGGCAGCAGTGGGGGGAGGAGTGGGGGAGGGGGGAGACAAGATAGGGAGGGCAGCCTTCTGAGATAGCAACAGCAGCCCCACTCCCCAAGCCCAGAGGCACTGAGTTTGGCTTTAGTGATTGAACCGCAAAGATAATTAGGTCCCAGATCAGACATCAGCAATTGTGTGGGCCTTCCCCCCATCGCCCAAAGGGCACTGGCAAGGGAATCAGCAGTGAACTGCAAGTCTGCCTCTCCATGTGCCCTCAGCCCAGGGCCTTTCGTACCTGTTGTTCTTTTGCTGGAATAATCTTTCGCCAAATTTTAGCACTTTTTCATTATTCGGACTTCAGGATAAATACCATCTCCTCAGAGAGGAGTCCCTAGGCCCCATGCTCAGCTCCCATATTCCTCTCTAACGTCCACGCTGCCTTGCTTGAGTTTCTTCAGAGCTGGTGACACTAGCATTATCTTGTCCATTGTGATTCATGCCCTCTCTTCCCATTGGAATGCAAGCTCCACGAACAGAGGATTAAATAGCTTTCATTTCTAGAATTCCCAGAAAGGAGCCCAGGACTCAGCAGATACGCCGCAAACATCTTCAGGGTCACAGCCATCCTAGACACCAGCAGTCACTCACTCACTCAATGCTTATTGAACCTCCTCTGTACCAGGCACTCTGTTAGGCACTGGGGATTCCAAACAAGCAAATGAGACCAAGGCCTTGCCCTGACAGAGCTCCGATGGTTGATTCAAACAAACAGTAGAAGCCAGAGCTGTAGCATCATGTGTGACCAAACAATAGCTGACCGAAAAAGACAGGGGGTAAGTATGGCACGTAATGGGAGAAATGGGGAAACCCTGAGGAAATGCAAGGGTTTCTCACATGCTCACTACTCATCTCCGGAGCTGATCCCAGGCACAAGCCCTGTGGACCTGGGGATAAGGGGACATGCCCTTTGCCAGGAGTGTCTCCTGGCTGCAGCCTAGAGCATGACAGGAGAGATGTGTGTGTGAGAGGGCGTGAACAGGAGAGATGTGGATGTGTATAGGAGCAGGTGAGCGAGTGTGAGTGCATACGTAGGAGCATGTGTGTGAATGAGTACACAGGATCGACTGTGTGGGCATGTGTGAGAGAGTAGGGAGAGAGGGGTTTGCGTGAAGAGGTGGATGCGTGAGCATATAGGAGTCCACCTGTGCATGTATGTGTCTGTGATGACTCTAGTACTATTACTTTTCACTACAGATTCTACATCTGGTTGACCTTGACAAGCTGAAGTCCCCACAAGTGGCGTTTCATTCATTCAATTAATTCACGCATTCTCTAAATGCTTATTTCATTCATTCAATAAGAAATCATCTATCGTAAATTCTTACGTTCGTCAACTTCATTCTGCAGAGTGTCCACATAAAGCAGCAACACTGGTTGGTTCCTAGAAGAGAATTCTCAACCTCTGGATACAACTGGCTGTGGTGAGAGCCGTGGATGACTGGGTGCTGGTCCCTGTTTTACTACTAACGACTGGGTGGCCTTGGGTCACGTGGGCTACTCCACTTCTCGAGGCTTCTGTTTGCTCTTCATTAAAGAAGGCAATTACAACACAGCTCTCAAAGTTTGATCGCAACCCTACAACACCCTATCCTTGGTAGCCCCTGGAGCACTGTTTCCTGGGAGAGCAAGTGTGTGTAACTTGACAAGGGCGCAGAGTTAACCAGGGAAATGTTGGGTTTGACAGAGTCCAATGTGTCCTTTGATTGCAGTACTTCTCAGAGCCTTTGCCAACATCGATCGCAATAGTGAGCTTGCAGAATTTGCTAGACTTAGGGAGACCTTAACGAGAGGCACAGCTCTCAGAACGAATGTTCCACAGAACTCACTCCGGGGACTCTGCTCGCAGGCATACAGGACGCATTAAGGCCCCTCTCTTGCAGATGACTGGACAGAAATGGTGTTCAGCCTCCCAAAGTCACAGAGCAGAGCCATGGAAAATACCAGCCCAGGAGCTCCTCAACCACAGGAACTGGCATGTGCTCAGGGCTTTGTGTTTACAAAAACAGTTTCACTTATAGGATCGCAAGTCTCCCTGACAACGTTCCTTGGAAGAGCCTCATCCCCACATTCAGAGGACAAAACGCAGCCTGAAGAAATGAAGGGATCTGCCCAGAGCCACTAAGTGATGAGCGCATAACTTGGTTTTATCAGTTTCCCGTGGCCTTGATTAAATCATCAGTGAAGACACCAAGTATTTTATAGATACAAGCAATCCTAGCCGCTGTGCGGAGAGCCCCTGAAAGATGCCGAGGCTGACAACACCTGCACTCGCACTCCAGCCGCCCCCCTCCCCCGGGGGGGGGGGGGAGCCAGGCCCCCTGCACTGGATAGGAGAAGGGGAGGGTGCCCGGAGAAATGCCCATGGAGTAACAGCCACTCTGGTAACACCCAGGCTGTAAGGCTGGGAGTAGCTCTCTGCCAGTCACCACACCCTCCCAGCCATGGCAGCCAGCAGCCAGGTACAGCCGCCCCCCTCCCCCTCCCAGTGCCAGGTGCCATTCTGTGGGAGAGGAGGGACGTGGATCCAGAGCAATGCTAGTGTAACTCCCTTCCAAGAAGCCCAAGGAGCCTGAGGTTGCTGGCCCTGACAGTCTGAAACTGCCACTGCCTCCAGGGGGAAGCACGGTCAGGGCTGCCAAAGCCATTCAGCAGTTCCGACCCACCGTGTGCTTCCCCCACCCACCGCTTCTGAGAGTGCGGGGCCTGAGCGGCATGCTGGGGAGGGTCTACTGCAGGCACCAGAGGCCATGCACACCCATGGCGAGTGAGGCTGTGCCAGGCGTGAGCGTGCAAGACAAGTGTGAACCACCGGGAACGCTCGTGTCAACCCAGGACAGCGACACGAGTAGCGCTGGGGAAACGCAGGCGGAGAGCGCGTGCACCAGGCAACCCCAGGCCACGGAGGAGTCCCGTAGGTCACAGGGGTGCGAACCTCCGTGCCCGCACACGCGCCTCTAGCCAGCCAGTTCCCTCCCGCCTGGCTCCCGCAGATCCCTCCGCTGCCACCCCGGCCGGGGCTGCCCGCCCGCCCGCTCGGCGGTGCCCGGCTCCCGGACTGTCAGGCTCCCCGCTTACCTGCGGGCGGTCGGGCTCCGCGCTCCGGGCTGGGCTGCGCTGGGCTCCGCTGGGCTGCGCTGGGCTGTGCGCCCAGCCTCTGCGCGTCTCGCCCGCGCCCGCTCCCCGCTTGGCTCCGCCCGGCTCGGCTCCGCCCGGCGGTGCCCCGAGCGCTCGCGGGCGGCCCACGCGGCGCGGGGTGGGCGCGGGGCGGGCTGGCGGGCTGGCGCCGGTGGCCGTGCGGCTCCGGGCCGCCCCGCAGCCGCTGGGAAGCTCCTTATTTGGGCAGTGATGTCAGGGGAAGTCGCAGGGGCCGGACCACCCACTTCTTTCCATTCACACCCCAGAGTTTCCTGTCGCCCGGCCCGGGGTCCCCGCGCCCGCGCGCCCCCGGAGCCTCTCCTCTGGCTCGGCCTCTGCCCTCCCGCCTCGCCGTCGGCCACGCCGGGGGCGCCGCGCTGGGAGGTCACGAGGGGCCAGGGCGCGGCGGGCAGCAGCCGGGAAGGGTCCGCGTCTGGGGAATCCCCGCTCTGGCCGGGAAGCTGGGAGGTTCTGCGCGGCGGCCTCCGCCTTGACAGGCCCTGTCACTCCGGGCGCCGCCCCGCCCTGCGCGCCCGCCCTGGCTCCCGCGCTGTCATTTCCTCCCCGGCCCTCGGGGAGGCCAGTCAGGGAAGCCCTGGTGGCTGCTGCCGCCGGGGGCCCTGCCTCTGGGGGACCCGCTTGGGTCGCACCCTGCCCGGCAGGCATCCATCCTCATCCCCAAAGTGCGCGCTCCCCGCCTGGCTCTGGGGTGCCAGTTCTGCTCCTTCGGGAAGCCCGCACCTCCCAAGGCGGGAATTTGCCTTCATGAGCCCTGCCTGGGCGGGGCGGCCTGACCAGGGCCTCCGTAGGCTCCAGCCTGGGGGCGGGGTGGGGGGTGGGGTGCAGCCTGGGGCTTCCCAAATGGCCCTTACCAGAAGCAGCTGGATCCCAGGTCTTGGGACCAGAGCCACATGCTTTGCCCAGCCCCCACTCAGGCCCCCCATCTGCCTGCCTCTTCAGAGAAAGGAATGGCCCTCCAAGGCCTCCAGACCCCATAAGGAGCTGTATTTTAAAGATTCTGCACATCAAGCGTGTCAAACTCAAAGGCTAGCACAGGTCAAATAAGCAAGGCATGCAGCCCGTGGGTTGTGAGTTTGACATGCTCAGGCATGTCAGGTGATTGGTCTGAGGTCAACTCTGCAGAACCAGGGCTGACCCTGAATCCAGACCCGGCGCCTGCCTGCCTGGAACAGCCTCAGAGATTATGGGGCCTAGGGCCAAAGGCAGGCCTAGACTTAGGCAACCTGAGTGCCCAGATGCTACTCCAACCTGAGTGCCCAGACCCACAGGGTGACTGACCCCTATGCTGACCAGGGCTTCCAAGAAGGCTCCTTGGAGACCCCAGGTTTCCTCTGGCTCCAAAGTGATGGATTCAAATTCATGGCCCTACATGGCTCAGGAATTGGGTTCCCTCTGAGCCGAGGCCCCAGGGCCCAGGGCCCAGGGCTGGTACCCTGGAGATTTCTGGGCCTTCCCCATACAACAGCTTCCAGCAGAGCCTCCCACTCCTTCCAAAACCAGGTGAAAGCAAACTACGCCCTCACAGCTTTGATGGAAGGAATCTCAAGTTCCAAAGGGGCACCGCACTCCCAGGTGCTGGGGGAGGAAGCCATAGCTCCTGAGATTGCAAGGAATAAGGGAGGTGTGGCTGGATGGGAGCTGCAGGTTCATGTGCCCAGTTGCTCATTCTGCCCAGTTGCCAATCCTCCAGTTCTGTTGGTCACCACCACCCCACTCTCCCCCATCTCCCATCAGCTCCTAGAGCCCAATCTCAGATCCGATTGGGTCACCCTCTTTCTGACAAAGCCCCGAGGAGAAGGGCCACACTCCCTCATCTGGCATGCAAGGTCCCCCTGACAGCTTCATCTCTTGCTGCTCAGCCCTCTGTGCCTTCTACCCAGTCCCTTTGACCCCCAACACAGCTTGCGCCAGCTTTTACTTCGTGGGGATCTCTGCACAGACTTTCCCTCGGTTTGAAATGCCCTCTCTACTCCTGCTGTCCTTCATACCCCAAATGAGGCCTGCCCTTCATACAGGCCCTTCCCTTGATTTGCGGGACAGGGTGAAACTTGGGACAGGTTCTTGCCCCTCATTCCACTCCTGCCCTGCCCCCTACTGCTCCACTTACTGTGCCTGGCTGGGAGCAGCTCTGGGCGGGAGAAAGTGGGTGAGTCACAATTCCTATGCCCCGAGGGGTGACTTTTTGTCATTTGTACAAAGGTTCAGATGACAGCTCAGGATGAGTTTCCTCCCCGGGCTTTGCGAGGTGGTCATGGAACTTCCCAGTGGATTTAGTCACCTTCTTGTGCTGCCAGAAGCATCGCGGTCAGCGCGGTGGTTCCTGCCTCTAGAGATGGATCTATTAGCCCAAACTGCAATCAGCTGGGAGAGACCTCCCATCCCTCAGATTGGGCGTTTCAAGGAACTTTCTTGGTTCTTCTCTCTGCCAGGACTGATCTGCTCAGAAATGTTGGTAAGTGAATGAATGATCCTGCAGGGCAGGAAGACATACTAATCCCAGGAGGGACAGAATGGACCAACGCAGAGCTGGGGCTGAGGTTCCCAAAGCCCGGCTAGGGGTTGGGGTGGACAGTGGCATTTCCAACAGACAGGATTTAGTGAAAGTGTAAGAACCTGGGTCAAGGCGTACTCCCTGGGTGGCTGCCCTGCTGACGCTCTTTCCTTGGACTATTCCTTTATCCCAACTTTCTGTGGCTTGGGATTGTCTCCCTAGTCTTTGAGCAAAGTCATGTGCATTCTCATCCTGGCAGTCTGGCACATCCCTATTCCAACTTCCAAACACACAGTCCAGAGCTGGCATAGCCAGGTGGAAGGGATGAAATAAAGTGAAATTTATCAAGCACATACATTATGCCAGAAAGTCTCAGAGCTCAGAGACGCAGCATGGAAGCAGTCAGCTCTACTTCAAGACAAACAGTATGAGCCAGATTCTGCTTCATGAGCCATCCCCCCCACCCTGGGCTCAGGACACCTTTTCCACCCAGTAGCTGGATGGGCCCCAGGTTAGAAAGCAGGTGGTGCCAGGTGCCAGTTTCTTCCTATCTGCCCATCCTCTGCATATAACTGGGCCAGGTCTTGAGAAATTCCCAGAGCTTAGCCCTGGGGGCCTTCCTACATTCCTTCATTCCTCATTCATGAATCAGGCCCCTTCCCTGTTCTGGGAACATGCAGCACACAAACCTGTGCTTTGGGAACTCCATCCACGGATGGAGACTGGTAGGTAAATAGACCATCCCAGCGCAACTATCAATAGCTGAATGCTACACTGCTCTTAACCAGGCACGGGGCAGGGCGCAGGGCACGTACACAGATGGGAGATAAGATCCATTCTACTTCTGCCACTCCAATTCAGGGAGACCTGTGGCCCAGGTGTCCCAGGCTAATTGGGTAATTGCTAAATGCTTGTTTCCATGGAAGTGCTACACACACACACACACACACACACACACACACACACACGGCTTGGTTTTGCTCTAAAGCCAACATCCCACAGTGGAGATGGCATAGCCTAATAAAGATTAGAGCAGAGGGCAGGGCTGGCATCTGATCTATCATCTAAGAGGTTATCATTCTAAAAATTTGTTCCTAGCTCCTAACAACCAAATTACAGATCTAGTTTTGGAACGTACTGGCATTCTGAAGGAACTGGGGACTGCCACAGCGTTCTTGGGAGTGCTTTCAGGAGGGGGCTTAACAACCCACCCTGTAGGCACTCCAGGTTACTTGTGTAAATCTTGTGCTTACTCAGCAGCAGCCCACCTCCACCCTGTCTCCCAGGCTCCTGTGGCTATGATTTCCTGGACTCAGATGCATTGCGCCATTTTACTATTTGTGTGTATGCAGTTGTGCATGTGTGTATGTGTACGTGTGTATGTGTGTGTGTGTGTGTGTGTGTGTGTGTGTGTGTGTGTGTATGGTGGGTACTCTCGCAATACATCCGTTGCACACATGCACCTTGAGTCCTCACTTCTCACAGAGGCAGCCATTTCGCTCCTGGGACAGAGACCTGGGATTCTTGCAGTGAATGGAACTTACCTCTGGGTGGAAGTCCTAGTAAACTCAGCCCCAACCTCTCTCCCCGGGTTGAGGACTGTGTTCCTCAGCTTCCTGACTTCCTCACTTAACCTTTAACTCATTTCAGCCTGATGCTGTGGGTAACAGTATGTGTCTAGGAGCCCCATGGACCTGGGCTCAGATCCCAGCCTCACACTCACTGTGTGACCTTGGGCATACTCCATGATGTCACTGACCTTGACTTCTTTACCTCAAAGGGCTTCTATGAGGATTTGACAAGATACTGCCATAGAGCTTTTGATAGAGTGTCCAGCATCGAGCAGGTACTCAACAACTATTGTTATGTTGCTCCCTATTATGACCCAGAATCCCGCTCTTCCCATACTGTTTGTCTTCATTAATGGCAGCACCCATCATCCCAAGACTGAAGCCAGTTACAAGCTTTCTCCTTGGTCCCCATGTTCACATTCCCCTCTAGTCTAAAAAGGTAGAACTCTACAAGACAAATTTAACTTACTCCTTGCCCAACTAAACTGCCCTGTCCATTAGAGTCTTGTCACAGAGCCTCCCTCTTTCTGCACATGCCCTACCCACCCTATGTTCCCACCATACAGAATACCTCACTGTTTCTGAGCCTGCCACGTGCATTTTTGCACATGCAGTTCCCTGTTCTGTTCCCTTGACTCCTATCTGCTTGGCTGGCTTCCATTCAGCTTTCCATGTCAGCTCCGAGGCTACTTCCCTTAGGAAGGCCTCCCTGGTCTCCTTCTTCTTCATGGACCTCCAGCCCCTGGTGCAGACTGTCCTGGCTTGTGTCCCAAATGTGTGTAGTCATTTTAGTCATATATCTGTTGCCCCTTTAGATCCTGTAGCTCTACACACAACCAGGCCATCCTCAGTGCTGGGACTTCACAGGTATTCAGAGCATGGTAAAGAGGCTTCTGCCTCTTGGGCCATTCTGTGCAGTAAACAACTTCAAGAGGCCAGTCAGCTCCAGCCATGAAGACAGAAGAGAAACAATTCAGAGATGGAAAATGCTGACGACACCTCGCCATACCAGCAGACAGCAGCTACGTGTTGCTGAAGGATGCCCAGGACCAAACCAGAGAAGGTTGGGCCTGCATCACCACCGTTTGTCCACCAACCAGATCTGAAATAGCATGGCTGACATGTACACATAAGGAACTGTTTGACATTGAAATTGGGACTCAAAAGAACTGTTGGCCCAGAAAGGAACTCACTACAGACTGATTCATTTGCCTCTCAGCATAACCATTATGGCTTATCTCAGTTTAGGTTCTTACAAGGGTATTTCTTAGGTCACATGATCTCACACATCTAGAGGAAATGATGAACAACATAGACTGATGAACAAAAACAGACCTAGAGAAAGAGAAGCAGCGAACAAACCTCAGAGGGAAAGTAGGGGAGGGTGGGGGTAAAGGGGAAGAGATCAACCAAAGGACTTGTGTGCATGCATATGGGCCTGGCCAGTGGCCATGGACAATGGGGGGGGGTGGTGGTGTGCAGGCATATGTAGGGAGGGGTTTGGGATGGGATTGGGGGGATGAGGACAATTATGTGATACCATAATCAATAAAAATAA